CTACATGCATCTATTTTAATAGGTTTACTTTATTCAGAAATATATAGTCCAAAGTAACAAATATTCAGCCAACAATAAACATATTGTTAAAAAAAATAAATTAAACTTAAATATTCATATCATAAATCTTGTGCAAATAACAAATGTTCACCCAACAATAATTGTACTGATTAGTTAAAAATATATAAACAATACAGTACACTATCACGCAGATGGAGGAAAAGGAGGCAAGTAAATATTAATTCTCTAAGGGCAGATGTGTGGAGATGCTGTTATTTTAAACTTGATGCAAGATCAAGACCATAAAAGGAGAAGTGAGTAGGTCTGTCAATGTTTTAGGCAGATAACTTGATTTTCCTTTTTTTGGTTTCTGCTATTTAAAGCAGCACACTGAACGGGTTCACTTCTTTTTAAAGAACTCACATCAAAGAAGGCTTTCTCCTCAACGTTTTTTGGTGCCCCCATGGTAGGTGTTCCTACTGTGACCGACTCCACCTCTGCCAGGTCGATGACACCTTTGCACTCTTTGTCCTGTCTGCTGTCGTAGTATCGCAGCTATAAGTAGAGATGTGTTAGAAACTGGAGGAAGTCCTCTGCATACAGCTTGGGCTACTGAGGAAACCTGATGCATTTTACCTGGTGTTTCGTCTTATCCAGCACAAACCACCTTGGTTTCCATGGTTTCAGCAACGCTCCTCTTTTGTACAAAATGCCTTCAAAGCTCCTGGTGGGTTTAAAAGGCAAATATGAGACTAGTTGTGTTCAGGTATGGTTCTTTCTAGAAAGTTTGATCTAAAACTGCATCTCTAAATGGCTACTGAATATTATATTATCTTTATTTTGGTGATTAATGCTAACAGCTACTACAACAACTATAACACAAAGTTCTGTTAGTCGACTTTGGACTTTATAAGACACAGTGGATCATCATCAGCAGATAATATGGTTAACAAAATTAACCACAGTCTGTATAAAAATAAAATTTTAGAAATGCACATTTTTATTTAAAAAAAAAAACAAAAAATTTGGACCATTAAGCAACATAAGGTCCCTTAAAAATGACCTATCACAGAAATTAGTCGAGTAAAGAAAATGATTTGGTCTCATCAGATTTGGAGTTTAGATTTAAATTCCTGCATTATGAACCTAAACACAGGTAATAATAAAAACAATTATAAAACCACAAACTCAGACAGAATAGACTGGCCTCATTCTGCACAAAACATGTAGTGAAACCAAACTGGAACCGTGGCCCAAAAACCAGAGAACACCTTGAAAAGAGCTCGTTTCTAGATCTGCGTACTTCTCCTGTGCTCGTTAAACATCATCAGCTCCCGCATCGTTCGCACTCACAACAACATAAGACTGAGAACTGAAAGTCCCCGGATCTTATTCTCGCCCCTCCCTCTTTACCCAGCATGCATCGGGGCAGATTGTCCGTTCTCCAGACTGGCAGGCCTCCCAGCATGCACTGCGGTTAATACTCACAGCATTAAATTTAAAGTTCTTTTCTATTGCTGTTGTTCTATAAAAGTACGTTTTAATATCATCTGAGATGATAACATTATTCTTTAAGTTCACCATATGGCCCATTTACTGATTTAGTTCAGACGTTGAGGACTGTGGCAACCAGCGGAGCTGTGAGGCTAGCCACAGCCAGGCCCGTCTGCAGCAGCAGATGGGCTACAACTTTTCAAAATGACAATGTCTAAAATAAAATACACAAAAATGAAAGAAATGTAAACATATTTCTATTTTTTCTTTTAATTTTGTTGTATTTGGGTCAGTATTAGTAGCCCTTCCTATGACTCGGTACCTTTCATCCTTTAAAAGGTTAGTGACCCCTGATCTAGATACTGTTAATAACAGGAGGCGAGATGCAGCTCCAGACGAGCTTTGAATGTGGTGATGTCATCAGTCCGCTTCTGTTCCAATTGACCCAGATTTATTCTGCGTTCTCCCAGAGTCCACACTCTCCTGGGGTCTTGTCCAGCACGTACTCGGTGAGAACACCAGTCCGTACTCGTGTTCTTGTGAATTGAGAAATGGACCCTAACTTTGAGTTTTATTAGCTGTGAGAAATAATCCTCAAAGTTTGTTCTTTAGATAAATCCCTCAGAGTAACAAATCGGTTTGATTTGAGCTTTTTGAAATAAACAATATCTAATTGATTTCAGCAGATTGTAACCAAACACCCAGAAAGAGGCTGTAAACAGAGCAGACCTGTTCTCGCTCTCGGTGCTCTGGAACTGGCTGTAGAGCGTGCTCGTGCTCTGCCGCCCCGCCACAGGCGTGGACGTGGCGCTGGCCTTGCAGTCCAGTCCCAGCTTGATGGATGATCCCACACCACTCTCCTGCAGACAGACGCCCTGGGAACGCCGCTGGTGGCTCAGGTTAGAGGACATCAACAGAGAACTGGAGAACGATAGCTGAGGAGGACGGAGAGGAAATATTCCCAGATGCTTTTCAAAGCTAAAGCTAGCATCAGAACCTCGGAGGGAAATCAAATTCTGGACTTACTTTGCTCTCCAGTTTGGTCTCAGTCCTCTGCGTGGTCTTGATCTTGTCCCACGTGTCCTTCCATTTCTCTGACGTCTGTCCAAGCTCCGCTTCCAGGTTCTGCAGGTCTTGCAGGAGTTTGGTGATGGCGTCGGGCAACTCCTTGCTCACGTTGTCGTAACACGGCCACACGACGCGCCGCTGGGATTTTGGAGCAGCGGTGTCGGCTTTCTCCGCCGTCTCCTCCGCCAGCCGCTCCTGCCTGCTCTTCAGCTCCCAGTCGAAGGGGGGGCCCTCAGACAGCGTCTCCTCCAGGTAGAAGTCCCACACCTTCAGGTTGGAGATAAACGTGTACGGCCGCAAGACCTGCAGCAACACATTCCTGCATCAGGTCTGCCTCGTCTTCATTATCATGATCAGAATCCAGATTTCACTCAGAAAACAAACCAAACAGCAGCCGGCCTCACCTCCTCATCCTCTGGGGAGAACATGTAGTTGAAGAAGATGGGGGCTTTCTTGTTGAGCCTGTCAATGTAGTCCCACACAGACTTGCACACCTGAGGGTTCCTCCTGTCGCTTTTCTCCTCGTACAACACGCCTGCATCCACACAGCGGTCAGCGACAAGCAGCAGAGGAGGAAAACTGCTGGGACCTAGCGGGCCCGGCTCACCTAGTTCGATCCGGTCGTAGTCGGAATCCAGCAGGAAGGTGCGGAAGCGGTTGGACATATAGTGATAGGCCAGGAACTTCAAGTAGTACTGGCTGAACTCGAACTCCATGGGGAACTGAAGGTGGATCTAAGATGGAGGAACGGTTTTAGTTTAATGTCACCAACAGGAAGAGCAGGAAAGATCTGCAGTGTGAGCTTGTAACTAGCGAGAGACGCTGTCCTCACCTGATGCACACAGTCCAGGAACTGCAGAAAGACGGGGGTGAAGCCACTGCTCTGGCTGCCCAGAGTCTGCGCCCCCCGGTGGCTGAACCTGTGGCCGAAGGACAACCACTCCTTCTCCACCAGCAGCCGGAAGCCATCAAAGGTTCTGTAGTACGGGTCCGACAGCAGCTGCACCAGAGACACCACCTACAGAGACAGTGTGAACGTCTGGGCTCAAAGACATTAAATGGAGCAGAGTCATCAGAGTCTGGACCCACCTGTGTGGTGACGTCCCAGCCGTCCTCCAGGCTGACCATGACAGAGGAACCCGTGTCCAGCAGCTCCACCACCAAACCAGACACCTGCAGCACTCTGTGCAGCTGGAAACGGTGAACACAGAGTCAGACTCGCTTCATGACACGGCGGGGGACTAGAGCGCTAAAAGCAGCAAACACCAACCAGAGCCATCCACTCCGAGTCCTCCAGGAGGCGCAGGAAGCTTGTATTGGGGTCTGTGTTCGCCGAGCTCGGCACGCAGGCCTTCATCAGCTTTTTGAAACTGTTCTTCACCTGCCGCACGTCGCACACCTCGATGGGAATCACCTCCCACTGCTGGAACGAGTCCTGCTTCCCTCCCTGAAGAGAACAGATTATTTAACACCCAGCTGGATTCTGCTGCACCTCAAAGACACACATTCAGTTCACAGATGTGAGAAACACTTCAGACAGCTCATCCTCAACTACATGAGGTGGTGATCGTCTCACCTGGAGGCACGTCAGCTACACTGAGCTAGTTTGCAGCTTTCCTTAACCCACTGTCACACCCTGATGATTTAGACCAGCTTATCCCTGACTTATGACAAATCTGGCAAAGTTATGGGTCAGTTATGTAGAAGTTAATCCACTCTGGATTAAAAACCCTTTCACTCTTTATTAAATCCCACTTTCTACTCTAGATTAAAATCCCACTTCCCACTCTAGATTAAACCCCCACTTCCCACTCTAGATTAAACCCCCACTTCCCACTCTAGATTAAACCCCCGCTTCCCACTCTAGATTAAACCCCCGCTTCCCACTCTAGATTAAACCCCCGCTT